TTTGCTGGGACAATCATTGTACTATTAGATACCATATAAGCTTTTAAACCTTGTAATTTCGAAGTCCATATTTTAAGAAGTTTTGATCATTCTAGCATAGTGTTGCATGTAATGATGGCAAAAAAGAAAACAGTGGAAATAATAGGGAGGATAACACCTTGTAGTTAATAATGATTTTGAATTAATTGTTATTTTTATTTTTAAAGTAATACAATCCATTGTATGTTTGTGATTTATTTACTAGAATGGAAGAAAATCCGTAGGATAATAATTGACGTAAATTTATGAATGCTATGTAGCGATCATTTATAAAAATACAAATTTTGAAAGAAATCAGATGGCACTCTGTTCCCATCACACATCACAGGTATAAACTGGCAACAGCATTCAGACGTTTACTATCTCATTCACAAAGGGAAAGTTTTTTTCAATAATTTTCATCCTGTCATGAGCTTAAACTAGTACTATCATCCCGGATCTGCAGTTTACACTCATCATTCCTCTGCTGCTTCTACCTCTCAGGCTGAACTGTTATCTTTTGGGATTTGGGAGTCTTATTTATGACACTGAATATTCAAGAACCTGCCTCTGGTGCCTTGGGTACTTGCTCTTGTGGTTTTCCTAATCCATTTTTTATGTCCTGTCCTATCTCACTGTTAGTGACTGTAAAACTTTGAGCAGTTGTAGTTCTCTTCAGTCTTTTTAATTCTGTCTTTTTTTTTATTTACAGATAGACCTTAAGTAATTCTCCACATCTATCTGAACTCTCCCAATTAATTGTTACTATCCTAAGTTTTTGATACTACTTAGTCTTTGTGCCTGCATTGCCTGTTTCCAGGTTCATAGCATCATTCTTGTTCAGCTGCACTACTGTGCATTTAAGTGGAATGTGATGGTGATAACTAGGTCATCATCTGCCATTTTCAAAGCACAATTAAAATAATGAATAAATAATAAAAACTTTCCACCTGGAGGAGTGTGGGGTCACTGAGCAAATCCATGATGCCATGAATATAGCATGTGCAGGAGAATTTTGGAGTCCTATAGTAAAAAGAAATATAAAATAGCGCTTCACAATGCAGAGCTAATTCTTTCCAGAAGATGTGTGCATAGCCCTATTTAACTGATTTAAATATAGCATAATGACTGAGGACCCTTTGTTGAGACTTAAAAGAGCTTTTTTTTCTTAATACTTGGCTATAATCAAATCAATTCAAAGCGTGGCATTTGGTACTTTTTCAGTATGTGGGTTGACACAGGAATGCATTTTGTGCCTGCGAGAATATAACCCATTCCCTTGATGGCAGAAGAGGTGCTGTTGTCTCTCTTGAATCCAGCTCTGCACGTATAATTGCAGCAGTAGTGAGTCTTAAAAGAATTACTTTTTAACAGAAAAATGGACCTAGTATTTGTCTCCTACTTTCAGTGGCCTGAGTTGTTTAATTCTGACTTCTAAGTGCAGTGAAATTAAGGATTTTTCCTTGTACTATTCCTCTTGCATACTAAACATAAACAGGGATCATCTTCAAAATTTAGCAGAGATTGCTCCAATTTTCTGCATGATATCACAAAAAAAAAAATCTGGCAGTGTTTTTTAAACAAGTTTTAGAGGTTTTATTAGATAAAAATATTTTTTCAGTTGACTTGACAACCATGTACAATGTTAGTGGAGTTTATTTGACCAAGGCTCTTTGTCAAAATACTTTTAAACTGAGATTATTAAAATATAGTTTAGTTGAATAGTGTGAGTTGAAATATTGCTGATATTTTAGTTAGGGAATACATTCCATAGGATGCTTCTTACTTCCATATTATATCTGCCATACATAGTCTTTAACCAGAATGGGTGGAGCATTTTTATATATCAGTGAAAAAATAACACATCTGTTCTTAAAATAGAATTTGATTTCTTTCCATATAGGTATGATCTACTACTTGTTAAAATACAGCACTGTCGTCTTTGATAATTACATTTTTTCAAACTGTTATGAAGTTACCTACCTACCCCAAATTCCCTTGTCTCCCTCCCACATGCACATGGTGCTGCTTTGCTCTTGCATGAGGTTGAATGATAACAGCTGTGGGAGAGAGGAGCTTACGGACAGAAAAGGTAATGTGCCCAATGCTAGCATAAAGAATTCTATAGGAAGAGCACAGAACAGCACCTTACATAGATGCTGTTTGTGTGGTGCCTTTGTTTTAGTGAAAGGATGTAGAGAGTACAGCAAGAAAGGCTAGAAAATACTATGGCCACAAGTGTGAGCATTGAATATTGTTATATCCTTGATTGTTAATGAAGTAGATATATGTGCTTACGTTAGTTACTCTGTTGCTGGATAGGAAGGTAGCAATGACTGTTCAGCTTCTTTCTTTCACCACACACATAATGTGATGTGGTGAACAAAACCAGAAGTCAGCACTACTGCATATTTACTTTATGTGATCTTGTAATTGATACTAGATCAGATAAAAGTATGCAGTCATTACCATGCTATAGAATAGATCAACAGTACGTATTGAGGAAAAGATTTCTGAAAATATTTTAAGAGCAAGTTGTGTTGCTACTTTAGCATACTCCTCACATACTGTCCTGCCATTTAATTTGTTGATGTTAACATAATGACCTGTACATCCCTTTTGAAGTAACTATTCATTCTGATAGTCAAAGGCTTTGATACCGGTCTTCACTACTTGCTGGGTATTTTGCTGCATGTACTTAATTTGGAGGCAGAAGCATATGGAAGAATGAATCCTATTGGATTAGTGCAGATACTTTAAACTACGTTTGAGTGTTAAAGCAGAATAGGAGGCGTGTTACGGAAGTACAGCAGCTGCAGTGTTGGAAGATGGTTGGAATTAGATTTTCTTTTATTAGTGCTTAATGTTGATGATATACATAGTTCCTATAAAACACCAGTTTTTACCACTTCTTACCTTAAAAGACAATGTTGTCCTCAAATTTCATGTATTGATAGACTATACAGAACACTTCTGTGGTAGTAGATTGGAAAAAAAGGGTTACACTGATGTTTGTCTGTAATGGTGGCTAGTGGAAGTAGTTTTTGAAACAACGACAATCTTGGTTCAGCTCAGCACACATTTTTCTGGATGTTTTTACAGACTAGTTTGTGACAAAGTTTGACTTCAAGAACTGCTCTTCAGAGTGGATGGGAAACAATAGTAATCAGAAAATATTTCTTTTAAAAATTATTTTTAATTTTAAAAAATGTTTTAAATAACATAAATGTGTTAATTCCCACTCTGCATAAGTGGAAGCCATCAATTCTATAATTGTATCAACAAGATTTTGCGTACTTGTATGTTGTAAATGCTTTATTTCAAATCATAGTGTATATATGATACTGATAAATGAGTACTTTTGCCATAAAGAAGTATGTAACTTGAAGATCTGTAAGCAAAATCTATTTCTTGTGCAGTCAGCAAAGTAAAGCGTCATTAGATTTTCTGTGTCTTCTTCCATAGTTGTTGTGGATAGAACTCTGGAGATAAGGACTTCTCAAGTTCTGCATGTGAGGCATGTAAGAACAACATAAGGAAAGTATAAAGACACTTTCATGTAGTTCTTTTGTCCCATTCAGGCAGTTCAGGAAAAGACAGAAGCTAAGGTGAGAGTCAGACAGGTTTGTTTACCTCAGTTGCAGTGTTTACAGCTAACAACATTGTCTGATTCCTACAGAGGCAGCTGTTCCAGTGCTCCAGATTGTGGGGTGTACCCATCACTGTAAGAGACTGAGCACTCTGATAGGCAAGATAAAGCCCTACACGGCATTTAAATTCATTTCATTAGTAAACACAAGGTAATGCAGCATGCAAAACAATGTAAAATTTGATCTAGTTGTAAGGGTGTTTTGGGGAAGAGTGGCGAAGAAAAGTGAGCTGGTGTTTTCGGTGATGGGTGGCAGGCCTTTTATGTCCCTTGGCACTGCAGCGTGGTGAGATATGGAGATACATGATGTACTCTGGTTTTTCTACCGAAGTCGCAAACTTCTCCCATCTTTGCAGTGATTTCACTGCTCTTTGACTGAAGGAATCAGTACAAGGTATAAAGTTTTATTCACTCTAAAGTTTTGCTTTTCTTCATGGCAGACTAGGGCTGCCAAATTCCAGAACCCCTTTGAATCCGATGCTCTGGAGACTAGTGTCATACATATTTACAAATCTTCAAAAACAGCTGACAGTATTTCATTTATTTCTTAATGCCAGTCAAGCATGTATCCACTTAGCTAATTTTGAAAACTTCATTTTTATTTAAGCGTATCTTTCTCTCTGTTTACTGGTTGTGAATGAGAGTGGGTCTTCACTTCAGTTAAAGTAGCAGCTTCAAGCAGATTTTTAGTAGAATTTTTCATTGCTGTGGCCTATGCAAGAACTCACTGGGATGCATATGGATGCATATAACTCTTTAAAATCAAAAACCATTGAATTGCTTCATCAGTTTTATTTCTAACAGTAGACATTGAAAACACATTTAGGTGATTTTTCTTTAGATACAATAATTATACATTAAAGTAGTAGACATTTTAATATTCTATAAAACTTCAACAAACCAGTTCCATATGGAATTAAGATAGAATCACTGCCAAAATGTCAAACAATTCACTAATCTCAAAAAGTGGATTTCCAGTATTTTTGTTGCCCATTAGCCAGAGAAGTACAGTTCATTAAACCTGCCATAGTTGTGCAGTTCTGAACACTAAAAAGGTTATCTGCAGTACATGTTGAACAGCTGATTAGAATGTAATATTTCTTATCAAATGAATGAGGCTTCACTTTCTCCTTTCAGTATAGAATTGTCCTCCACACGTGGTTCCATGTACTTCTATGAAAGGTGTCATGGAAAAAAATCAAAAGAGATTTCCTTCATGTAATATGTATGAGTTTTTCATAGCCTCTTGCAAGAATTTTAACTTACGAACATTCTGGAAACAACTTGTTATTTTGTTGTGCTTTGGTTTATTTTTAATAACTTCAAAATTCAGCATGGGGATAAACCACGACAATGACCACCCATCCTGTGCAGATGGTCTCCATATCATGTCTGGGGAATGGATTAAAGGACAGAATCTTGGGGATGTTTCATGGTCTCGGTGCAGCAGGGAAGATCTGGAAAGATTTCTCAGGTATATCATTCAAGAAAAAGAACGCTTACTGTATGTCATTTACAAATAGTTGCAATAAATATCCTGAAATAACAAGTTTTCAATAATTTTTACCACTTCTGTGGGTGACTTCTGTTTATATAGCCCATCAAAATAATTTAAATCATCATGAACTATATAATATTTGACAAATTTATTAAAATCTGTTGTCAGCAATTATTTGTATTTGTATTTTTATATTTTCATGGGTTAATGTAGATGATTATAATTACATATATTTATAGATACATATTATATGTATATGACAATTCTTTGATTTATGTTGTGCCATTCAATATCAAACCATATAGTATAATTACATTATGTTAACTTTTTAAATAGCAATTTACTATAAGATATTTAATAGATACTAGTATACCTAGAAACCAAATTAAAACATTTTGTTTCACTCTATATCTCTCAACTAAGATCTGTTCCCTAACGCTCTATTCCTTTATTAAGTTTGTAAATATGTCTGTTGAGAGTTTACTAGCAACAGTTAAGCAGTCCTCAAAAGGTCTGCTTTATGACACTGGAATAGTTTGTATAAGTTAGATGTGTCAGTCTGACACATTTGTACTGAATCTAGACAGAAATCAAAGCCATGACTTGGTTCTTTAACAGGTTGAAGTATTTCCAAATATTTTTCCTTCAGTTTTTGAGGAAAGTTAAATTTCTGGCTACCAGCTCAGAAATGTATGAATCTTTAAATGTGTCCATGTATATAACCTGAAGTGATTAATTTGACGTCCTAGTAAATGTGAAGACTAAGCTACATAGCTGTCTATGCATTATAAATTGTCTACTTTTTTATAATTGTTTAAATCCCTATTCAAACCTTAATCAGTTAAGTAAATTTTACACTAAAATGTTGTCCACTGTTTTCCTGAAATTCATATTATAGTTGATAAATTATATTGTCTTTCTGCAAATGTGTAACATCAGAAGACACCGTTAACTTGTATCAGTTAAGCCATATTAATTTATATGGAGTCTTTTCTCCGAATGACATCCCAATGTTGACAAATAAAAAAATCTTAAGAGTCCACATTTTTATAATGTCAAATGCATGTTTAAGTCAGCATGACAATCAGTCTTAAAGATTGCTCAGCAAATGAATCTCTGTATATTGCCAGGTCAAAGGCCAGTAACTGTCTGCTACAGATGAATCCTCAGAGCCTCAACTCTGTGATTATTCCCTCCAAGCTCCCAGGAATGACGTATACTGCAGATGAACAGTGTCAGATTCTTTTTGGACCAACCGCTACCTTTTGCCAGGAAATGCAGGTAAGGATGGGTGTATACTTCAGAAAATACACCTACCAACTCACTTTTCTGTGTGAGATAGTTTTGTGCAAGTGTTTCGAGAGAAAGAGAACTTAGCACCTTTGAAATGAGAAGTTTACACTTTGCTTTCCAAAGTTAATACAAACATTTTCATTTTTTTATCTTGTAAGGTTTATTTTGATTCTCCAAACATCCTGAATCATGTTGTATCATAGCATGCCACTGATATGTTCCTTGTACTTTAGAGATAGAAAATGTCATAGTGTGAAGTCACCTCACTGCAGCAAATAGAATATTTGCAATTTATTCCACTGGGACCAGACTTTGCGTGTAGGTTCCATTTCATTATGGTTTAGATATTGACCCTCCCTATCTGACCTTCAGTAGAATATGCTGTGCCTGTGCTAGCTCTGCAGGAGAACAGTGGCGTTTGCTGGGCTCTATACTGCTGAATATACCCTGCCTCCCAGCAGGTGGCCCGAGAGCCCTGGCAGAGCGGTGCAATGCCATGGCAATAGGAGTTCCAGCACTTAAGTCAGTTTTCTGGCATTGCTTCATGCCACTGCATTAAGCAGTGTCACTATATGTTAATCCTGAAAAGACAGATTAACAAAATCAAAGAGCTCTTCATAATTTTACAGCCTAATACTAGTGGACATCTTATTGAAGATGCATTTTAAGAACAGTTTTAATAGAGAAAAATCATCCTTCTTTAATGTCAACAGGACAAGTACTAAACACGTGGATGCCCTTCAGAAGGTAACCAAGACAAGATGAGTAGGTGATACTACAAATATATGAAAGGCATGGAGTATGGGTTGATAGAACAGTGGCTAGAAGGCACTGTGAAATAAAACTTCATCAGAGTCAGAGTGGAGAGATAGGTCAGGAGTATTTGGTATGAAAGCATAATTCCTTACTCCTCTAGTACTTCAGTTCTCTTCATCTTTTCAGCTTGGACATAGTACTCTTTCTTTAGTGAGATTCAATGTGAGTAATCTTTATCCTAAAGATTCTCAAAGGAAACATTGCAATACATGCATGACTCCCACATGCTGAGAGTAGCATAGCTGAAAAAAAAAACCAGCTGTAGGTTTCTGGTTATTATTTTCACGGTCTTAATTGAAAAAATTTTCACTCTCAGAGAGGAGCAATAGAACTCAATGTAATGATGCTAAAAATGTTCTGAATTACTTCTTTTTTATGTACTTCTACCTAATTACTACATGCTTTTTTCATTAATTGCAATCTGTTTCATGTTTTTTAGTACTTTGTTCTCAATTAAAAGATGTGATTTTGGTTTCTCATTCCCTAGAAACCTATTTTGAACAAGGAAATGGTAGAGCATTAGCCCATTATTTCTTCTAGGTCTTCTTTACCAGGTAAAAAATTTCAGAAGTAATTGAAGATATAGTAAAACCTGGAGACTTGCTGTTGCATAATACTTTTCATTTCTCTGGGCACCTCTCCGCCTTTAATACCCTTGTGCTGAGTTCTAATTCAGGCATTTAAATTTAGATAGACAAGTGGTCCCATGCTGATTGTACTTCATTCACAAATGCAGTGAATATTCTTCTCTTAGGGTCCTGACTCCAAGGTTTCTTTGGCTTTTGTTATTATTTTAGAGATGTTTGGAAGTTAAATTCAGTTAATGCAACCATGGTAGTGTTCAACTGTTTGCACAGAGAGTACTTAGGCTCTGGGTGCTGGTACCTAATTGTCCATTACTAGTCATCTTCAATCATTTTCTCCTCTTCTGGCATTTTGTATGTAAAAGAACACATTTCAGCTGAATCACTTGTACCATCCTTCTTCTTTTCCCACTTCCTGCATCATTACTTTATATTAAAATGGTTAGTTTAGGACATTCCTGTGAAATACTAGTATTAAGATAACACTGTAACTTAAATCCAAAGACATGCGGGCTTGCTTTGAAGAAAGAACCTAGTAATGATGCAAGACAATACAAAAAGCCAGTGATCTTTTCAACTATTCTTTTTTTATGACAAACTGCAATTTAATTTTCAGTCTTCTTCATAAACCAAGTGTATTCCTTGATAACCTTACAGTCTTAACAAAAAGAGAAGAGTGGATAACAGTTTCTGAGAAGAGAGCAAGGGGAAGATCCTGCTGCAGTTTCACCAAAATCCTCTGCAAAACTGGTAATCCTGAACCAGAAATCATATAGGCAAATACTGAAGCACAAAATTATTGTAATGCATCTTTAGAGCTTTGGACCCATTAGAAATTATATAAAAATGAATAAAAGACACTAAGGACAGAATTAAGAAAATCTGCACTGAGGGAGAAGATAATTTCTCCAAAGCTCCACTGCCAACCACTGTAAAGTCGTGTTGTTGGTTTTCCTCTGTGTTCTTTCATCTGGAAGCAAAATTTACACTCCCACCTTCCCCTCAACAAAAAAAATCCAAGAAATTTGATCCTCAGACTGTAGACCTGAAGAGCTAGTTACAGCAAGCTTAGACACTATATTCAGATCTCCTTCTTCTGTTCCCTGTTGTGGGTCTTAAATTCAGCTCTTCTGTTAGGGAAGTTTACAGTATCCTAGTCCAATTAAATACGATTTCTACAGTGAAGAGGAAGCTCAGAGTAATGGATAGAGCACAGCCCAAAAGATAAGAAAGCGGTCCTGCTCTTACATATGTTTCTCCTATGTATGAAGAGAAAGAAGAAAAACAGTGCTGCAATTTAAATTGGGCTAGAACCAAGCTATATAAACTCCCAGAAATCGTTCATGAATTCTAGTACATGGACTGTGGGAGACTGACATTATCTGAGTGTGAGGTGCTGTTAGTTAGTAGCTAATGTTATCATCTCCCTCTGAAATACAAGAATGTTACATTGAAATAATAAGTGTTTTGAATTTAACCTACCAAACAGTTGCATTTTACATATTATGAAAGTACTTCAAAATGCACTGTGTTGATTGTGCAGATTATTGTGGCTGCCATTGGAGAAGTCAACATTTAGAAGACTTTTCTAAATTCAGTACAGTATTTCATTATTTGCAGTATTAATTTATTAACATAATTATTTTATTACACATTGGCAACCACTGGATTTTCCATGAAATCCAAACTACGTTCTTTTATCTCTGTATACTCTCTTCTACTTTGCCAATAACTGACAGTTTACTGTGGTTACAGTTGTTGTCCACAAGCCAGGAAATGAGAGGAACATACTCCTTGAAGGTTCATTTAAACTTCAGTAAATCCAAGAATTTATAGCCCAGGATTTCTTGGATACATGCTACTTGCTGCACAGTTCATGCACTTCAGTGTAACTGTGTAAAAGATAAATTATTAACTAAGTCAGAGTCTTACATTTTTTGTGACTAGCTAGAAGAGAATTTGATGACCAGACTTCCATGCAGTCTTTTACATTAAGCAAGAATGTTCAATATATAACAGCTATTCAAATAAGAACATAATTTAGTAATGATGGAAAATAAATTTCTTAATTATCTAAAAATAATCTACAAATATCAGTGGTACAATCAATAACGCATTTCTGCTGAGATTTAACTTCCTACAAATTTTATTATTGAGTAGCACTTTAGGATAATTTACAGTCCCATTACATGGCAGCCTCTGAGAAACATTGCGGATGCCAATGATCTTCTCTTGCTATCAGGAATTCCTCTTTATGATTTAATGGCTAAGGCCAAGGGCTGAAGGGACCATTGAGCGCTTACTCCCCTGTTTTCCTAAGTGAGCCCTTCCTGCTCTTCTTTCATGAATAGTGTCCAGACTTTATTTTTTCCTTTTCATCTTTATTTCAAAGATTTTTTTTCTCACACCCTAAGCAAAATTTGTAGAGCCTTTATAGAGAAAAGTGTGAGTGGATCTCAGAGTACAAGATTTATGCCATGTCGCCATGCTTATCTTGTAAGGGAGCCAAGTTTGCTTTTATGCCCATGCTGTCTCACACAAGAATCAATTAGACCCTAACATTGTTTCACATAACAGATAGTGAGATCATGGCCCAGAAGTAGGTCTTGATGATTAAATGTGATTGTATAGCTTGACAATTTAATATAATTGTTGAACTATTAAATGCTGGCTTTTAAGATTAAAGTCCAGGATGCGAATGCTATCTAGTCAGTTCCACTAAAACAATTCTTGTCATAACACAGCTGTGATCTTTACAAAGAAGTAGGAGACTGATTATATTTCATGGTGATTTTTAAGGCATTTCAGGGGAAGATCACAATGAAAAGAACAAAAGTAATGGAACTATTATAGCCGTGGTGAAATATCTGTCCTCATCTCCACCACCACACTTCAAACAATCTTGAATTTGCACAAATACAGTTCTGAAATGCTCTTTTTGTCTCTCTTCTTTCCTCTCAACTGGACCTTCTTTCCAGATGCTTATATCACTGGAAAAGCATCCCTCTGATGCACGCAGACCTGCCTCTTTTCATTCAACCCCCCTCCCTCCCAAAAGCTGCAATGACCTCTGCTATTTCCGTAGTACATTGTGACTTTCATGTTGTGTTTTATATGCTTTTGCTGTTAAAAACTCACTATTAACACAGTCTTTCAGAAAAAAATCCTCTGTGTGTGGTTGGCCAATATTTTGTTTTCCAGTACACACAATGGAGTATTGTACAAATTGTGAATAGCCTAGTATCATGAGTATAAGTTTATCATCTCAAATAACTCTTATTTCCCTTGGCTAGTCTAAAAAACTGTAATAACTATTGGGCTGTGCGTATGACAGATAACTAGTAAACCTCTGTGAACATTAACTTAGCTATCCTGATTTTGACTGAATGAAACTTTCTCCCCAGAGGAGTAAATTTCTGGCTTAGAAGTTTATCCTCCCATTTTGAGTGACTATAATAATTACAGTGGCCTCCAGATTTCTGTTAGTTTTCAAATTGGTCCTGATCTGCAGCACTGCAGGTTGCTAATGAAAAAAAAAAAACCAAGTTGCGCATCATGTTTTTTTCCCCAGCCACATGCAGAAATACCCAAATGTCAAAAATTAAATGGTAACACTAATCTCCATTTCTCTTTCTTCTGCAGTAGAAGTACAATCTGAAGAGTAAAGAGTCTATTTGTGATTTGACTGAAATGAAAAGCCCAGGAAAAAACCTTACAAGTCATTCTCTAATTTTATAAATTTCATATATCCACTTTCTCGGGTTTGGAGACTATCCAAGTCTAGGGTTATAATAGAAATGTTATAGTAATATTGAATGCTTATGTTAAAAATTGGTGAAGATAAGTTTTTAGAATACAGTTCACTTCAGACTCAAAGATGTTTCTAGCTGGGGGAGTTAGGTTCATAAGGAGGCGGTATACAAGTATTTGCAGAAACATGCAGAGGGATACAAAGCCCATTAGCAAGTCAAGTGTCTTGATTTTATTTACTTTATTTCCTTTACACAGCTGAAGTGCATCTGTGTGTTCAGGTACCCCAACCCTCGTCAATATGACTTCATGTCTTCCTAAGTTAAGAAGAATTGTTTCTGGATTTGTAAGGAACTGTAGGTTTGTTCTCAGCCATTCCACAGTCATATGCTAGTGAAATTGAGCACAAGATCAAAGTGTGTAGAAAAAAAAAATGTGACATAAAGGAAAATGTGACTTTATTTTTTGAAAATCTGGATGGCTTTTCCTCAAATGTAGTCATTGACAAGTGAAAAAGATTATTTGAATTAGGAACATTAAATTACCATATATTTTTTGTGGAGTTGTTCCAACAGTGTAGTCTGTCATTTCATAGTTGGTATGGAAACACTTTGCCATGAACATCTGATACTGTCTTGTCTACATTGTCTTCCAAAACTGGCCCAGAAGTATTCTTGCTAAGTTGAGTTCTTGGCTCTGAAGTTTTATCTTAAAGTGCATGTTTAAAAAAAAATTTGAGAAGAATAAATTCTCTTTCTCCCTTGAATAAGAAGAGAAATTACAGTGGCGTATTTGAAAAATGCTTGTTAAAATTATCCAGGAACAGGATAGGACTTCTGTAGCTGTATTTTGGGATATGCATAGGCTAACTGTTTTCTTGTTAGTTCAGCTTCAGCACAAAACTGTTTACAGGATCAATCAGAAGTGAGTCTGACTGCTGTCATCCTGTCTCTTGCTTCTGTGCAGTGCTTCAGACTTCTACAATCTTAGCCTTTTTTGAAAGCTGATGTTACAGACATTTTTACATGCAAGACTCCCACTGGAACTGTCCTGTTCCTTGGTTCAGACACAGTCTTTTGTAGAATTATGTTTCCTGTGCAGTATGACTTTTTCAAGGTAGCATAAGATTTATCACATTTTTCATGCATAGTATAAAAGGCACAGAGACACTTACTGTGTTTAGCAATGTAACAAATCATTTCACTCAGAAAAAGCACATCTTCTGGCAACCCTGGTTTCAAAAAAATTGCTGATCTTTATCTTTTATCCTCCCTGCGAACCGTCCTCCTCTCCTGATCGTTCTTGCCCCAATTTGGGAGTACTATACATATTTCACAGAATCACAGAATCACAGAATCGCAAGGGTTGGAAGGGACCTCGGGAGATCATCTAGTCCAACCCCCCTGCTAAAGCAGGCTCACCTAGAGCATTCTACACAGGACTTCATCCAGGCGGGCCTTGAATATCTCCAGAGAAGGAGACTCCACAACCTCTCTGGGCAGCCTGTTCCAGTGCTCCGTCACCCTTAGAGTAGAGAAGTTCTTCCTCATATTCAACTGAAACCTCTTATGTTTCAGTTTGCACCCATTCCCCTAGTCCTGTTGCTGGACACCACTGCAAACAGACTGCTTCCATCCTCATGACTTCCGCCCTTAAGATATTTGTATGTGTTGATAAGGTCCCCTCTCAGTCTTCTCTTCTTCAGGCTGAACAAGCCCAACTCTCTCAGCCTTTCCTCGTAGGGGAGGTGCTCCAGACCCTTTATCATCCTAGTTGCCCTCCTCTGGACTCTTTCTAGGAGTTCCTCATCTTTCTTGAACTGGGGAGCCCAGAACTGGACACAGTACTCCAGGTGGGGTCTCACCAGGGCAGAGTAGAGGGGGAAGAGAACCTCCCTCAACCTGCTGGCCACACTCCTCTTAATACACCCCAGGATACCATTGGCCTTCTTGGCAACAAGGGCACGCTGCTGGCTCATGGTCAGCTTGTCGTCTACCAGGACTCCCAGGTCCCTCTCAGCAGAGCTGCTTTCCAGCAGGTCAGCCCCCAGCCTGTACTGGTGCATGGGGTTTGAGGGGAATCAGTCTGCACATGCAATAACATTCAGGCCACAGTTGAGCCCCACGTGCCCTCTGTTCACTTCCACCCAGTTTACCATTAAGGGGGCAAAAAGACAACAAGGAGAATGAAATCATGACTGAAAACTGTGGGAGAAGGAGGACTTTTCAGAGGAAATTAGGGAAAGCTGCCAAGGAAATTTGGGGAAATGTGAACCAGCATACCTCACGGCTGTTCTTTCCTTTGAAGAAGGTAAAACTGTCTCGTTCTAATATTTAAGAATAATAGAATAAGCAGGTTTTCTTTCCATCTCCAAAATTCACTACTGACTAGTACCCCTCTCATCTCTCTTTTCTTCCCAGCAAAGATATGTCATCCTGGTTTGTCAGTTTAGTTTGTGTCTTCTTTGTGATTATCAGGTTTAACTGCTTTTTTGAGATATTTCTAGAGGAATGAGTGAATCCTAGAGTAATCATGAATCATTGGAAAAGCATAAGATAGCAGCAATTATTAGGATGGTATGAACAAGGGGATTTGGAAGTCTTAGGGAAGCTTCAAAGTTTCTTACAGCACATTTTTACAAAACTCCTATGACGATAGTTCTATATAGCTGCACAAAGACTTGTTAGTCCTGTGTATGGAAACAGACTCGTTTTAAAATCTTGGGTTTTGTTGGTAGTGACACATATAATGAATGAGTACTAAATAAAAGGAGTAAAAAACTAAATTATTTTTAAAAATAATTCCTAGAAAGCTCACACCTCTTCCAGTTTCTTGGGTAGTGCAGCTGCACAGTGGCCATTTCACATCATGGGGTAAAGTTGTTCATTTGTGCTTTGTCAGATCTACCGTATGCAAAGGCTGTGACCCCTAGGTTTAGACTTAGAAGGTTCTTCCCCCCCTCTATCAACACACCAGCTTGACTTGTTCCATGTGTTCGTGATCAGTAGAATTCTAAGCAGAATCTGCCCACTTCGGGTTTTGTGCATGTTTAACCTATCGTTAAACATACTTCAGTACTATAAAAATGGATAGCTTTTATGACAATGTTAGTGGATGGCATGCAGAAAGTAATTTTGTGTAAGATAGATTTTGTGCTTACTTGTGAGCTTGGTTTTCAGCACGTCATTTGTACTGGGTTGTGGTGTAAGGTGGAAAGTGAGAAGGAATGCAAAACTAAACTGGATCCACCAATGGATGGAACAGACTGTGACACTGGAAAGGTACGTTTCTGGTGCAAAAGCAATATAAATGATACTGAACACCTAACAGTTAAAGAAACAAGCTGAATAGGTCTTTGCACTTGTTTACGTTCCTGCTTACCTCAATTATCATAACAATCATACATATATAGTTGAATGTACTGTAAGTTATCTATTATATAATATAGATATGATTTAAAAGTACGTATCCCTAAAAACAATGCATTTTTTAAAACGTTAGCCAAAGCCACGGGTGTTATGATGCTTACATTGTTTTATTTCAAATTTGTTCTTGTTCTGTATCCTATTTATGAATGGAATGCCATTGGAGCACTGCTTACTGTAAACAGAAACATAAGCTTTCAAACGTACAAAGTTCTCAGCTACGATTTAAGATTTAGAAATAGTCTCATCAAAGAAATTGATACAGATTTGTGATAAAACTTTTCAGGATAAGTTTTGTGAAGAAATATTTATAGTGTCAGTGCATGCAAAAGAGTGATAAATGTTATTAGAAGAATGCCATCAAAGACAAATTAAGTGGTCACCTGAAGTCAGACTGACATTAAATGTCCTTCAAGAGCTTTCCTGTTTAATAATCTCTGTCATCTCTGTATATAACTGTAAATGAAGATAGATAATCTCAAATAGATAACAGAGCAGGAACACGCATATATCTTGGGGTTTTCATGATACTGTGTTGACAGCAGTCTCCCACAGGAGTGACTTGCTCTTTGAATCACATACATTCACCAGAACTGTCATCCCCCTAAAAAAGTAAACAAATCAATCAACTGAGTAAGAAGTTCAGATAGTATCATTTTAATGCTAAAGGAAGAACAGGCTTCATGCTTTTTCATATCTCTAAAACCATGACATTTGCTGTGACCTTTTGAATCTGATAAATGTGTGTAGTTGATATTCTGTCTTAGGTCAATACCTGGAAAGTCAGGGGCATGCCTTTTGTTTGATGTTGCGTTCTTTATATTGAGACTGGTGTGCCCATGGTATGGAATAAGAAAGAAGCAGCTCTTACTAAGACTATCCAGAAGTTTTCTTCATGAAACCGTCACCAGCATGAACTGGGTACCCAAAATTAGTGTTCATTTTGCATATTAATGTCTGTATTAATAATAGCAACTTATTGCAGAGGACTCATTCTAACTTCATATTTGTGGGACCATTATGATAGCAACATGAGTCCTGGGAAAGTCCAATGAGGGAAGAGACACCGTTCTCTTTATTGTAGAGCTTAGCTAGTAGGGAGTAAATAATTAGTAAGGGTAAAATGAAGTAGTGATTCTAATTCGAAAGACTCATTGAGCCCTGTGCCGGGCTACAGGGATGCCTTATTTATGTCTAGCAGTAAAAAACTAAGCAGACATCACTGAGACATCTGAGAGGATTAGAAGGGATTAGTCTTCTTGTTTACTTTATTATATGTCCAAGATGAGCTTCAGATTACACAAATCTCTGGCTTTGTTTTGTTTTACTTATATTTTAGAGATGGAGTATTGTTGTCTTCTGCTCCCCTTAGGATCTTAGGAAGTGATGTAAATGTCATTTGCAAAGCCTGTCCAGCTTGGTTATTTTTTAAGTCAAGGATTTATAAGCAACCCTCAGACTCTACATAAAGCAGATGCGGTCTCTAGAGAAAAATCCATTTTGCCTATTATATCTGAAGGAGTATCTTTAAATAAATATGAGTATTTTTGGTCTGAAACATCCAAAAGCATTACAAAATGTGTTGTTTCTGATTTCAAATTCAAAATAATGATGGAGCCATCCTATGTGAAGACTATTCAAATGTGGTATACTTATGCTATGATTAAAGAGGGAAAATTAGGACCAGCTGATCAGTGAAGACCAGTTTGAAACTGCAGGTGAAGTTTAAGATCACCAGGCAAAGATTTAGCACAGACACTGCAAGTAATGGAAGTGTATTCTAAAAGTGACAAAGGCCTTTACTGACAGCACTAGTGACATGTTTTGTTTTGCTCAAAATCTGAGACTTCTTCATGAACTTTATCCCTTGATAACAGTAATTCACCAATAATTAAGAGTGCAGAGAGAAATGGGTTGAATTACTGAGGTTAATGACATTAAGTGTTCATTGTCTACTTGCAGCCTTATTGCTTTGCAATTGGTGAAATTTCATAATATGTAGTATTCAGCTCGTGTAAGTTGATAAAGTACTAGTTTCTGCAGAGTTAAATTTATACCAGATATGGACATAGTTCACAGAGCATAACAATAGTGATTAGATAGTTTTTGAGTGAGAAATTCCCAGTTGTCCTTGGAAACAATATATGCATACAGGATTATTGAGGTGATGATTTAAAAATGCCAGAAATTCTCTTGACTTTCCCAACACTAGCTTTTTGAGGCTTTCATTCTCTCTTTGAATACAAGTTGTGAATAAAATCTTGATTTTTCTACTACTTGTAGTATATCCTTCTATTGAAATTAAATACCAGATAGTCAATGACAATGCAGTTCCTGCTAGTCATGTGGGAACTGTAATAATGAACCAAACAAGTCCTGAGGATATCCCTGTACACTGTGCTGTGATCATCCATACAGTTCAGAGGGAGGATAATCCCTGCAGTGGGTTTGGGCTGGACCCAAAAGCACTTTCCTAGGCAGTGCCCAGGCTCAAACGAAGGGGACAGCATGATCTGGGGACTGTTTCCAGCAGGCTATTCCAGGAGGTATCCTTTATTGGGAATTAACTTGTGCTTGATCTTGTGAACAAGAGTTGCACTTGCTCCTTGGCCACTGAGCCAGAGGAAGGACTCTGGCTGTTGTATTTACTAGGTCAGAAAAAAAAAAAACTATGCGGAGCAATAGGAAAAAATATATCTGACTCATATGAAAACTATGTATTGAACAAAATCTTTATGTTATGCTTCTCATGTGCTTGTGGAGCAGTGAATTGTTTTGCATGTGCCTTGATTTATTTACTAAGAGCTGAATTTTCACCTAGTGGTGTAAGGCTGGAGAGTGTATCAATCGGACCTCTTTTGCGGAGCATATGGAGGGGGAGTGGAGCACGTGGAGCACTTGTAGCCGTACTTGCAACACTGGAATCAGCAGTCGACAACGCAAATGCCCTGGGTAAGAACAAGTTCAGGTTTCCATTGCTGCTCATAGGAATTTCTGAACAGAATTTAAACCTTGTAAGTACAGAAACCCATTCAGATATAGTTGTCCTATACATAAGCAATTATTTTTTTATAAGTACTGAAAAACACTTAGGATAATAGGGGGTTTATTTATTTATATTATTTATTGTTTTATTATTTGTTTATTGGGGTTTTTTATTGCATGGCAACACTGTTTTTACTCTTTTCTGCTTCTGTCAAAAGCTTAGATAATATTAATGGGAAAATACAACTTTCTTTTTAAGCGCTTCACCTGAAAAAGCAACAGAAAATTAAATTAATGTTTTTTTGATTTGCAGAGTGTCAGTGTGTCGTTCTAGTCTTTTAATTTTTTGCTGGAGAAAATTCACTTCTGTCTCATTTGGAGGGCCAAGCAATTGCAACTTTTACAAAGAGTTCTTTCTACATTCTTCACAGACATTTACACAGAATACCTGGAAACAGCATTTAGATTCCATATCTTGTGAAAATGAAAACCTTGTGCCATTGGGGATAAAGGGAGTTTTACCACTGACTCAAATGGAGTCTGTTTCACCATATCTCAGTGGTCAGCTAAAAGATGCTTTTGTTTTGGTTACTCAGTACCATATCTCCATTTTGTGGGTCATTGATACACCAAGAGAAAAAAAATAAATAGGCAGAGAAGTGGGAACAGAGTCAAGCTGATTAATGAAGACAAGTGTAGAGAAGACTAGACTAGACTAGACTAAACCAGAGGAGAGGAGAGGATTTAGGAAAACAATAGAACAAAAGCGGGAAATGAAGAAAGATGAAAGACAGTGTAACAGATTTGGGGCAACAAATGATGACAGGAAAGACAGAGGGATTAAAAAGGAGAAGTTTGCATGAAGAAATGTGAGGAAAACTTGGACATGACTGTACAAAAGCATGGTACTTTAACAGAAGCCTTAGATATGCAGAATGCTTTCATACTTCCTGCCATCTAAACACCACTTCCAGCTGTATGCCTAAAAGCTATTTTAGAATTTAGGGATGTCTTAATTTCACTTTCATTCATTCATTTTTCCAGGCAAGGTTCCAAATAACTAGCTCCAGTTTCTGCAGCTTACTGTTCTTCTGCATTTGTTCATTAGGACCTGCAAGTACAAGTGGAGCAACCAAAAAGAAACAAAGCATATTGTCTGAACTTTGCAACACCACACTTGCAAAAAAAGGAGAGGTAGCAAATCTGCAGCTGTTACTTCCTTTAGTTGGCACCTTTGGCTCAGTCCAGCTAGAGAAAAATCATCCAAACTATATTAAAACTGCAGTTGAGGTTCTCCTTACTGAACACTCCTACTAGTCCTAGTGCTTCTTCAAGGTCAAGTGTAAATTATGGCTTAGCACCCATGATGATTTATATGTAATGTAACCAGTACAAACAGAAGGCAAACATGTTTTGTTCTGCAACTTTGATTTTTTTGTGGGTGATTTCTTAATGTTATGTGTCAACAAAAAATCTGCTATTTAAATTTAATTTGTGTATAACATAAATAAACCGTGCTGTAAGTTTGACAAAACATTACCAGCAATAAAGCATGATATTTATGCCATCTTTTCTAGTTCAGGCCTTGAAGGAGAATGTCACGGTCCCACAATGCAGTACAGAGTATGTGAAAATCCTTCTTGTCCTGCTGGCGTGCCTGCCTTCAGGGACTGGCAGTGCCAGGCTTTCAGTGTCAGATCCTCATATCAGAAGCACGTGCACCAGTGGCAGGCTGTCATCAATGATGGCAAGTATAAACCATCTCCCACATCCTTATCCTTCTGCTCATACGGCTGACAGCTTGTTGATATGCTTGTTGATTAGGAAAGGTTTCATAAAAACTAAAGCAAACAAACAAACCCCAAGCCCAAGATTTTTGGTAAGTCATTTTTATTTCATAGGGAAGATCTGGTGGTATTTTCACATGCTCTGAAATCTTTTGTCTTATTTTCCTATTGAATTTGTCCTTCTTGATATGTAATGACTACCTTTGGATTAAAATTCAGTATCAGTTTGGTCCTATTTAATCAGAAATGTAGTATGAAGTGACTCAGAAATACAGCTTTCTAGAGGAATGCTACACCATTAAGCATGCATATATCAGCTATACTTCTACCTACAAAGCCAAAAAGACAGTACGGATATTGTGAGCTTCTACTTTTGAGGAAGCAGAGAGCACTTTTAGCTTAACACTTGAGTATTTCACATACCAGTCTTTGATTTTGGCAGAAATCCATATGTAGCGCATACTACAAACTTAGATAAGATTTCTATAAATCCTAACAGCTACTGCATGCAAAGCCATGGCATACTGCATGCATGCTTCAGTGTAACAAACTTGCTTAGATACCATACCATTAAGAACGTGCTCAAGTAGGAGCATAGTAATGTCAAACTTACAGTATGTGCAGTGATAATGTTGGTATAAAATATCAGCAACTAGAAAACAAAACGTTGTACCCAAGTTCTTGCTAGGAATGTGAACGATAGCTGCCCTTCCACTGAATTTTCTCTAAATTATTATTGTAGTTTATTTAATTAAAAAAAAAGAAAAAAAGAAAGCAACAGAAAGACTTCAGTTATGAAAACAGTTAGTTTGAGAAATTAACAAAAGCATAGCAACTGGTGATAAAGAAGAGCCTGGAATGACACAGGAGTACTGTAAGTATGTGTTGCCATATTTTAAGTAGTTCATTACTGATATCTTTATTTAACTCTTGAAACAAATTATCAGAAACCATTAGAAAGCATAGATTTTAAGAGAACTATTTTGCTGAATCCCTAAAAATGTGAATTCATTATGAAGAACTTATTTTAATATATGCCTAGCTAAACAAGGCGTTGTTTTTTCTTCTAAGTCTTTTCTCAAGGTGCCAAAGTGAAAATTTGTGAGACTATTTTCATTAGGCTTGTATGTTAGCTCATGTTCCTAGTAAGAACTCTCTCCAGCTATTTTATAGGTGCTTATCTAGCAAATTAGTTTTGGTTTGGTTTATTGAATTTCATTTTAGCACAGGAACACATGATTTATGTCCTAAGGCAGCAAAAGGTTTCAGCCTGACTTCGAATAATTCAGACATCTGATGAAAAATCTTGACACTTTCCTGTCCCATGCTAAGGAGTATGGATGGTTGCTTTCATCTAACTTTGTTCTGAGACATCCTATTGTCTTGAGGTGTCCCTCAGGAGACACAAAAGTGGACACCAGTTAAAGAAAAAAAATGTTGATACATGCTTAAAGGTCCCAGGGAACTTGAGGATTAAGAAGTATATGCTTAAGAAGTATAACAGGAATGGAGAGGGCACAAAATCAGGCAGAGACTCATGCTTCTCAGCCAGAGATGGCTTGTGTCTGACTGGCTTCACATGTTGGCATAAGAGATCACATCTGTTTGCACCAGTCCCCTAGAGATACCCAGAGGCTGCGTCAATTTTAGTAAATTAAATGTGCCCAGACCACTCTCTGATGTGTAAATCAGCTGGCATTGAAGTCCTGTGTCTGTAATTTTCAACTCTTTTGCACTCTGTAAAGGATGGTGACATCCAAACTGCTTTTTGGAAATGGTCCTTTGCAGGTGGCAATTTCCAGTCTAGACTGAGCCAGTGCTAGTTAGCACAGGCAAAAAAAATGTGGCATAGGCTGCTTTACAGTTCAGCTGTATAGACAGTAGAATTCCAGTGCCCATGAACGTTTCCTGGAACTGTTTAATTTACTAGTAAAAATGTACTCCAGGAATCTAGAAGTCAGTGTGAAGTCAGAGTGGCATAGATTGTGTCCAAGTGAAATCAGCTTCAAGGTCAGGATTGACTTTATCCTTTAAAAAATGTGCAACAGATTTAGGAAGAAGTTCTGAGTCAGTACACTTGCGAATAAAGATATAAAAAATCATGTAATTTTGTACTCAGTTGACCACTGAGAGGACACAGTTTATTTTGTTTGGTATTACTTTGGCAGTGGTGAAGCAAACTTCATTATTTATAAATGATGACCATTAGGAATAAATGGATTCCTAGGATATTATTACTTTTTTATTCTCTTTCAAAATTAGAAATGATTTGCAGAGTGTTTTAGAAATATAGTGGAAAATTGCCTGACCTTGGTAAAGATGTTAGAAAGAATGTGTTCAGTTTTTTGTCTTTTTTTTAAATGTGGACTTTGTAAATCCATGTATTTTTCTTCCCAGGGTGTTTCAGTTACTTAATTTTTTTCTCTTTGACCTGCATAGTTAGAAAATCTGGAAAGTGTTAAGTTTCTTTTTTAACCAGTATTTATGATCTGCCAAATATATAGTAGAATGAAAGTATAGATTACAACCAAAATATTCCAACAGCTGTAATGCGCATATTCTTAATTGCAACAATGAACATGACATGTAGGCCAAGTTTATAGCACCAGTATGCTCTAGCAGGAAAAGCAACTTGAGTTTTTCAAACAACTGAGAAAAGGATCAAAATATTTTTGTTTTCTCTGTATGTAAGATAACTTGTTATGCTAACATAGTTTCATACCACAGAGATAAGCACATACCAGTTTTTAAAATAATATTGATAATAATTTTGTGTTTGTTAAGTGACCTTTTACCAATTTGGTGGGTTTTTCCATCAATTGCTACTACAGAAAAGCCATGTGCCTTATTCTGTTCACCGGCTGGAAAGGATCAACCTGTTCTTCTAACTGAAAAGGTGATGGATGGGACTTCTTGTGGCCAGCATGGGTTAGATGTCTGTGCAGATGGTAGATGCCAGGTATGAATTACTTGTTTTGAACCTGGATATGCGGGCACATGTGTGCAGGTGCACACATTTGTTATGCCTATGTGTTACTTCTCTGATAGCATGTTGCAATATGTGTGACCAAGACTGAATGGCTCTTTTTGTATCATATTAATATATTTTAAGCTAATCTCACTCAGGCAACTGAAGAGTTAGCTTGGGGATTGTGTATCTGTGATGGTAAGGATGCTTGTAACAAACTGCTGCACAGTGGAAAATGAATATAACTGATTTAATCTTCTAAGGGAAGCCTCAACTTTCAACAGATTAGGAAATTTTGCCATAGGCTGTGTGTATATTTGTCTAATTCTGCCTTTTTCAACAGTACCAAAGTTTATGTCTAAATAAACCAAGGCCAAAGGAGCAGAATAACAGACAAATAAAGCTGAGTGCTTATGCCATTCCTGATCGTCAAAATACATATGGTTCATATAAGTTTTTTTGTCGCTTTTATAGTGCCTCATATGGAAACTCTTCTACGTAAAAATCCCACAGGGCTGGGTTTTCTTCTATGTCCACTTCTCATTGCACACATTGAATTCAGTAGGAAAAACAAACTTTAACACAGAAACAGCATTGTTAGATACTGTAATAATAAATTTAAAGATGCATGCATGTATGTATATATGCATACAAATCCATATATGTATGTATAGTTACCCTTTCTCTAGTGACTGAGTGCATGCAACAAGAATATTCTTAATAACTTTGCTGAATTGCTGCTTTAGTTCACCATGTAACAATTACAGATTTAATCACAAAGATGATAATATGGCCTGTTTTTCCTGAAATATGTCATTTGATTTATCATTCACTTTTCACACCTGACTAATAAAGACCAAAAAAAAAAGCCTTAAACCAAACCCACCTGACTAAGACTGAGTTGGCTTCTTAGCATATCAAGGGTCAGAGAGATAGGTGCTAATCAGATATAAAAATCTAATTTGTAAGGTCTTCCACATTTTACCCTGTCTTCTTAAGACAACTCATTAGGAAGAACTTTGGGGACTACAGCTGTAGAGTTAGGTATTTATATCTTGTACGTGTGTCATTTTGGATACACAACTCTTTGCTTATGCTGTATTCAGTATTTTGAAATCTGTATTACTTTTTTAGGTAGAAGAAGTCTAATAAAAATTCTGTGCATAAAGTGAAGTAACAATCTTCATGTGGATGGAAATGGCTCCTCGGTAGACTGTGGTTTCTGTTCTTAAAGGAATCCTTTTTTTTCTCTTTAACCTAGCTTTTATATTCATTACTTATCAAGCAGTCTTGAAGTTTAATTGGTTTTATCAGATGCATTTATACAGTGCACGAGAGTACCCTGTGATGACTTCTCTAGACTTTAAAAGACTTTTGTTTCATATCAAGCCAGCATATGATATTAGCTGTATTTCTATTGTCAAGCTACCACTGATATTTATTGATAGCAATGTGTCTAACATAGTAATGTGGGGGGGCTTGAGTAAACTTAATTTGTTTTAAACTGAATGCTTTTTAGCAAAACACAAATACAGTTTACATCTACATATTCCAGATGTGTTCAGGTCCTATTCAGAATAAGACAGTAGGTTGACATTAGACAGCACTTTAGTATTGTGGGTGTGGCAAAGAACCTCTGGTATTTTGAGAAGAAAGCAGTAGAATTGCACACACTCCAGGCACTGAGCACGGGGGCCTGTGGGATATGTGTTGCGTAGTGGCTCAGAAGTGCCAGAGGTCCCAGGGGGAGGTGGGAATGCGGTTGTGTTCCTCTTGGAGAGTAGCTGGTAGAGTTAGCCAACCATATAGGAAGAGTGAATGTAACAATCTACATAAAATCATGGGGAAAAAAATGGTATGGAAGCGATCTCTGCACACAAACTAGTGCAGCCCTCATTCTGAGCAGGGGTAGATTGTGTTGGTTAGGGCATCTTGTGGAAGGGAGAGATGCCCACTACTAAAGGCAGCTTTATGAAAAACTTAGCCTGTGTCTCAATGGCTTTATTTTCTTCTCCCACAGAAATTTGGCTGTGATGGCATAGTAGGATCTCTGGCTCGTGAAGATCATTGTGGTGTATGCAATGGTAATGGAAAGTCATGCAAAGTTATTAAAGGTGATTTTAACCATACCAGAGGAACAGGTAAGTCTGTTTATTTCAAATATTTAGGAAAACAGTAGCTGTTTGTTTGATTACTTTGACCATTGGGAACTTTAAGAAGTTATACTGCTTCAAATTATGCAGTTCCTCACAAGAACTTCAGATCTACTTTTTTTAAGATAGTAAGTCATTTAAGAGAAGAATGCATTTTTAAACTTAATTGTTACAAATCTATTGCAAATAGTTGAAATTATAAAATTAAGGAATTATCTAATTTATCTTCCATTAAGACACACATTATTTAATAGAAGAGCCTGATTTTTAAAAAGTATGTGAATAAAATTTATATTTTTAGTAAATAAATGAACTGTAAATTCTTACAGTCTTTCATTTAGTGTTCTTCAAAATAAATATCCAAATTATGATGTTACCTAGAGTAATGTCATTAAACCAAGCCAGGCAGTGAGGGAGCATAAAGCCTAATGGTGAAATCTTCTATCTTTTCGTTATTCATAGTTTTACACTAATAATAACATATCATAAAAAGCAAATAGATTTTGTGATGCAGAATGAACATGAGATTATCAAAAACTGGTATGATCTGTTCTTTGACTGAGAATAATTGATTTGCTACAGCACAATAGTGTTGACAGAGTAGAAGACTCAAATCCTAATACTGTGCACCATGCACCATGCATACCTTCTCTCCAAGAAAAGTCTTTTCTTTGAAACAGCATTTGGCCAACTGTTTTCAGCATTTATTTGCCATTATACTTCTTCAGTAGAAAATGTGCAGAATTTCAAGACAGGAAGCAAATCACATAAAAAAATACTGTAATTAGAAGCACACAGTATATCTTTGAAAAATCAAGGACTTCAATGCATTACAGACCAAAGTATAGCACTTAAAAAAAAAAAAAAAAAAAAGGCATAGTCTTGAGATGTTTATGTCTGGCCCTCTCTTAAGCTGAAGATAATGCAGAGCAGGGGTCTCAAACCACGAACGAGTTTGTAGGACTACAAGATCAAAAGCTACAAAGCAGGTGGCTGCCAATACAAATTACAATGTGCCAGCTCTCTTTTATAGCTAGTGTGAATATCTACACAATTTCAAGTTTATTCAGGGTTCTGTGTCAATCCACAATATTGTGCTATAGCACTCTAAATAACTATGTAAGTTATTTTCCTTCTCAAGAAGTTGGACTGTCAGCAATACTTAGAAAGTACTGTTAGCTTGTAAGGAAATTAAAGATTAGTAATGCTGTTTTGCAGCAATTTAATTTTCCTGTTTCAGGATTATTGAAAAGGTGTTGTAAATGCTCAGTATTTTGTTATAGAACATTACAAATCTATGCGGAATAAAAACTTTGTTTACTCTCCACTTTTTCAAGTTCACCTGGATAATCTAAAATATGCTTTTATTTATTTATAATATTCCTGCTTGTGCAGTGTTTTTCACCTGCATTGCCTTTTCACCCCTTTTTACTTAAAACAAATTGTTCAACAGCATGTCTTAGTCCCACACTCTGAGGAAGCAACTGCAATGTAAACCAAATAACTAGTAAGTAGACTCCAAAACTAAAGCTATTCATAACAGGGTTTGAATGTGTTAAAGCAAGAAGAGGGAGATGGAGCACAGAATATTAAAAAAGAAAGCCCAAAAGCAAAAACCAAAAGTGGGAGGTTGTTTGGGTTTTAATGCTGTATTGTTTGTCCCTACATGCCCAGTGAGGTTTGAATTCTTATATGGTCGCCTGGTGGTGATGATGACACTAAATGACTTGGTCAGAGACAACTTCATCTGCTCCAGTCACAACCTCCCCAGCCTCACTAGTTCTTGTTATGTTTTATTTTGCTATATTCTTTTAATTGTATATCATGGTATATATATTACACTTAAAGCAAAGTTTCATATCTTGTTTCAACATTTTGCAAGACTGCTCAAACCACTGCTATATAAATTATAACTTGTTACATTTAAAAGGTGAAATAGGAGAGAAGAAATGAAAAAACCATGCAAGATCTACTTTTCTGTGCTTTTGTATTTAACTTGGGACATCTGGTCTCATGTCTAGGTTATGTGGAAGCTTTGGTGATACCTGCAGGAGCAAGGAGAATCAAAGTTGTGGAAGAAAAACCAGCTCACAGTTATTTAGGTAAATGTCTTACATTTTAGTATTCATGTCTTGTTTTGGTCAGCAATGCAGAGTGCTAGCTAAACATGGTTTTGTGATTAAACAAAACTCTGAGTGGAAAAAGAAAAAAACCTGTGATAAATACTGCTAAAGAAATTTTAGTAGAAATAACAAAATAAAAGAATGGTTATAGCACCATATAGGTTTTATTTTGAACTTTTTTCTCATCTCATTTGGTTTAGAGAATGTTTCAAAGAATGCATGTAAATGATTTAAGAAAAATTCTGCATACTTTACCTTCAACATTTTCAATTTTTCATATGGAAAGTGCTAAAGAAAATACTTCATGTTAAAACTAATGAACAGAGTTGTGTGCTGGAACATGGAATAATTTGCGCTCAGACAACAAATAAATGACAGTGTCCAACTTAGCACCTATGAAGTCAAACAAGAGTTCTAAAATCAGACTAAGAAAGCAGAAAAGTATTTCTTTGCATTGTTTTGAACTGCCTGAATGTTATAACGCGCAAATTTAATTACCATGGGTTTTTTTAGTTTTTTCCATTTCTGTGAAACTCTTTCATTGAAAAAAAAGTTTTTCACTTCTAATGAGTTCTGAAGCTGTTGTGTAGGAGAGTATAACTTGTTACTATTATTGTTACAGGGTTTAAGTGAACATATGAAATATCATAATTGGTACGATTCCATGCACCGCTTAAATTTAAATTGAGAGAGACTTAGTATGAGAAACAGGACAATGAAATGAAAAATTCCCTGGTTTGATCACTGTTCTTAGTTCTGCTTATAAGTAATATTTACATTTTAAGCAATTTTTTACCTGAGTGTTCCCAGTACGTCAACTGAGAGAATGTTGAAGGTGGTGAATCTTAATTATGACAGCTTAAGTTTATCACGGGGTCTGCACCTGCCCTGTTAAGATATCACAGGAGGTTTAGAGACTTGGATTATTTCATTGTTCCCCAGTGGACCATGGAGATGGATATGTAAGAGTGTCAAATCAATAACTGAAGAATTATTGACATATTTTCTAAATTTTCCCAAGTTTTTTTTTCCCTCTGTGTCTACTCTGTTAGCATACATGGACAACAGAAATACTACTATTCTTTATTTTTAAAATAATGCAAAAATAAATAAATCTTGGAATTGTATTTAGGGAAATTAATTCCTTTTTCATGAGTAGCAAACTGATTCAAGTGTAAAGCTTTTTATGCCCATGAAATAATGTCAGTCATGCTGCTTATTTTTGAAAGATAATAATTAGTCAGCTCTTAATTGCTTGTCACTTTAATTTTACTTTTATTAATTTCACTACTGTCAGTCTAAATGAGGATCAGCAAGTATTTCTTTGTCATATTTTTTTGTTAAGCCTTTATGGTGAAGCAGGAACAGGTCTTCTATAGTATTTTGAATTAAACCTTGTGTTGTTGTGTCTTTTTTTCTTTTTTTTTACTAGCAGAAGGTATTTAAACTTTCTTCATTTACAGAAGATTTATTCTGAAAGCATAAAAATCTGAATTGAAAAGGAGTAACATTTTGAATAAGAATATTTTTGAACAGGAGTAACAAATTGAAAGTTTGGGGGGGGAAGGCATAGATCTTTCATTTTAGAAACAATATTCTTCAAAATACTCTGATTAAAAATGTGAAATATAATACAGATTAAATTCTCCTGTGTTTATGATTTGGTTTTTATCTTTACAGGTCTGTATGCTAATTTTGTGTTGCATGGTACTTTACTTTCTGCATTTTTGGACTTGAAATGAGTTAATACAGGGCAACATGTTTTCTGTTTTGCTAATTGTCATATACCCATTTTAGGATTTTTTAAATAGTATAGCTCTTCATATAATTAATAGTTGTGTAATCAGATTTAGGTGTAAAAACAATTTAATCCAGTGTACATTAAGAGCTGTGGCTTACAAAGTAGAAGCTAATTTAAACCGGGAGATTTGATCCCTGTTGTACAGCACAGATAAAGTACAGAGGTAGTCAAAATGAAACACCCGTCTCTGGATTTACTTGGTGGTCAAGGCAGCATCACTATGATCTGGAAGCTGTGATGATGTTGCTGAAGTGATTAGTAAAAATACAACCCACATCAATAGCATCATGGGGTGATTGTGCTGTTGAAGCAAATCTTCAGAGGAGTTCTTCCTGAATACCTCAGATACCCTCTTATCTGAGGTATAGCAACATACACCACAGTAACAGGAGCTGTGGCATCCTAGGAGAAGAGATAAGGTATAACTTGCAACTGCATTTACTGAATTGATGGATCTGCCCTGCCTCTTCTCCGCTATGGGGAGATAGGAGCAGTGATAGAATCATAGAATCATAGAATGTTTTGGGTTGGAAGGGACCACTAGAGGTCATCGAGTCCAACCCCCCTGCAGTCAGCAGGGACACCGCCAACTAGATCAGGTTGCTCAGAGCCCCATCCAACCTGGCCTTGAATGTTTCCAGGGATGGGGCCTCCACTACCTCTCTGGGCAACCTGTTCCAGTGGTTTACCACCCTCATTGTAAAGAATTTTTTCCTTATATCTAGCCTAAACCTACCCCGATTTAGTTTAAAACCATTACCCCTTGTCCTAACGCAGCTGGCCCTACTAAAAAGGTTTTCCCCCTCTTTCCTATAGGCCCCCTTTAGGTACTGAAAGGCCGCAATCAGGTCTCCCCGCAGCCTTCTTTTCTCTAGACTGAACAAGCCCAACTCTCTCAGCCTGTCCTCATAGGAGAGGTGCTCCAGCCCTCGGATCATTTTAGTAGCCCTCTTCTGGACCCGCTCCAACACTTCCATGTCCTTCTTGTGCTGAGGGCTCCAGAGCTGGACGCAGTACTCTAGGTGAGGTCTCACCAGAGCTGAGTAGAGGGGCAGAATTACCTCCCTCGACCTGCTGGCCACGCTCCTCCTGATGCAGCCCAGAGTACGGTTGGCCTTCTGGGCTGCCAGGGCACATTGCCGGCTCATGTCCAGCTTTTTATCCACCAGCACCCCCAAGTCCCTCTCGGCAGGGCTGCTCTCAATCCTTTCTCCCCCCAGGCTGTATTGATACTGGGGGGTACCCCATCCCAGGTGCAGGTGATACAGCCAAACATCAGGTATTCCTCTCTACAGAATTTATATGAGAAAATGCATGAGAGATTGTGATTCTTCTTTCATCACTAGACTATTCAAGAATAGAAATTATTTGTAGCAGTATAGAGGGGGACAAAGTGTTTACTTAGTTTGAGAATATTTCCTAAAGCATATACTTACTAATTTTGGAATTAGAATTCATTCTTTTAAGAAAGAATTTTGAGATTTATTCTTAAAGAATAAATTAGCAGTGATAACCTTGTCTGCGCATAACCATATTGACATGAGACTTGGTTCATTGTCAGTTACTTTAAAAAAATGATTGTAAGAACAGCTATAAAAAACTTGTTTCAAGCATTATCTAGATTCCTGTGGCCTAAGATAAATGCTTTTCTGCTGCTAAATTTTCATTTATGTTTGGCAGATGTTAAAATTTTTTTCAAACAAAGTTCTTAATGTAGGATACAAAAAGGAAGTTTACAGTATTTTTGTATAAGAGATACACTAGGCTTTGAGATTAGAGAGCTCATACATGTGACACCTGTATAATGGCACAACAGTTCCAGGCCTTGTAATGAATTAATAAGATTGGTTAATGGTCATTATTCTCAAATATATGATCAAGCTGCTTCAGGGATATAAACCCTTTGGACCTGCAGTTTAACACTTCATGGCATTGTAATTTCCAGTTCTGTTACACGTATCAAGTCCATAGATGTGCATATAAAATATGTTTCCTAGTAAAAAAAAGCATGTTGTACCATATTTTCAGAGCAGAGGGTGTGGGAAAGCAGATGGGGTCTGACAATTAATACAAAATTTTGAATCCCTCATTTCTGACCTGATCCCATAGCAGAGACCAGAGTCCACTGAGACTAAATACGTTTTCCTTTCATATATAGAGGGCCATAGAAGATAGTTAATAACCAACACCTTTTGAAAACATTTTACATCAAGATGAAACAAATGCTCTCTATGTAAAAAACCAGATTGACTGCATAGAGCTGTCTTTGAAAAGCAGCGGTGAATAGATTGAGAGCCTATGGGTAGAAGTTAGGGGCCATCCCAACAAAGGAAACGCAGTGGTTGGTGTTTACTACAGGCTGCCTGACCAAGGGGAGTCTGTTGTCAAAGTGTTCTTGCTTCAACTATAGGAAGCATCATGCTTGCAGGCTCTAATCTTGCTTGGGAACTTCAATAACTTGGCATCTTCTGGAAAAACAACACAGCAAGCTGTAAGCAGTCCAAGAGTTGCTGTGTACCAACACACATGAACTATTTAGAGAAGTCAAGATTTCTGGAAGCCTGAGCTGTAGTGATGATTCTCTGGTGGAACTCACAATCCTGAGGGATATGGGCCAGGTGAAGACTAAAGCCAGAACCCTGAATGTTAGGAGAGCAAACTTCCAGTTACTTAAGGAATTAGTGGATGCAACCCCCTGGGAAACTGCTCTAACGAATAAAGGAGCAGAACAGAGCTGGCAACCTTTTAAGGACATTTTTCATACATCACAAGAGCTGTCAATTCCAACATGTAAGAAATCAGGCAAGGAAGGCAGGAAACTGGCATGGCTGAACAAGGACCTCCTGGTCAAAGTAAAGTGTAAGAAGGAAATGCATAGGCAGTGGAACCAAGGACATGTATCCTGGGAAGAATATAGGGATGCTGCCCAGATGTGTAGGGATGGGATCAGGAAAGCTAGGGCACAGTGGGACCTGAATTTGGCAAGGAATGCAAAGAATAAGAAGGGCTTTGACAGGTACACTGGTCAGAAAAGGACGACTAAAGAATATGTACACACACACCCCCCTGATAATTAAAACAGGAGAACTAAAGACAGTGAACATGGAGAAGGCTGAGGTACCCAACATTTTTTTGCCTCAGTTTCAATGGTAAACACTCTTCCCATATCTCTCAAGTC